GGGGGGGGGCTCACCGTCCACGAAGAAATAGGCGCTCTGGAAGGGCTGGCAGGGGGAGGGCAGCCAGTCGCGGTCCGAGGACTCCGAGCTGCCCCCGGGCAGCGGCTCCCAGCCGGGCAGCAAGTCCCAGCGGCCCCAGCGCTGCCGGCGCTGGTACTTCTTGCGGTGGCGGCGGCGGGAGGCCCGGCGGCCGGTGGGCGACCTGGAGGGGCTCTGCGCCACGTAGATCCTGCCCAGCAAGGCAGCGTCCAGCCGGGAGGGCAGCCCGCGCCAGTCGCGGGAGGTGAAGCGCGCTCGGCTGGCCTGACCTGCGGGCGGAGGGGGGCTGAGTGGCCGGAGGGGGCAGCGCAGCGAGGGCGCCCCCCCCCAGGCTCACCTGCCCCAGACTCACCTGCCCCGGAGGCCCCGAAGAGCAGGCGGAAGGCCGCCTCCCAGCTGTCGTGCTGCAGCACCGCGTAGTGGCCGAAGACCAGCGAGGGGCTCGTCTGCTCGCACTCCGCGCGGCTCGGCTGGTGGGCGAAGTCGTAGGACCAGTAGCGGCTCCCTGAGGCCCAGAGAGACCCGGGCGCGTCAGCAGGGCGGCCCGGACCCTCGGAAGCCGCCCCCGCCTCCCCCTGCGCCCCCCCCCCCGCCCCCGGGCCCCTTTGAAGAAGTAGACGCGCTCGCTGCCCAGGTAGTTCTCGGCGGGCAGGGCCAGGGCGGCGTCCAGGTCGTCGGGAACGCCGTCGAAGCCGTCGGAGATGTTGCGGGGGAAGTCGGCGTCCAGGCGGCCCTCGTCGAAGCGCCAGTAGCGGCTGCCCTGCAGGGCGGAGGACGGTGGTGGGGCTGCACCGAGAGCCCCCACCCCACCCAAGGCCGCCCCGACAGGCCCCGCCGCCCAGCCGAGCCCCCTCCGCCCCCGCCCGCCTACCTGGAAGAGGTAAGTCTTGCCCTGGCAGTTGACGCGCGTGAAGGCGGCGTCGATGGGGCCGTCGATGCCCCACACGTCCCGGATCAGCTTGGGGTAGCCCGGCCGGGCGCTCTTCTCGTCCAGCTCGTACAGGTAGAGGCCTGCGCCAGACGGGGGTGAGTGCGGGTGAGGCGCCGTTTGGGACCCCCACCCCGCACCCCTCCCCGCCGGGAGTCTCTCTTTTAGACCGCGACCCCCAGCCCGCTCCCCCCGGAGCCTTCCGCTGCCAGCCGAGACCCCCCCCCGGCCCATCTCCTGACCTCAGCAGAAGCAGCCCCCCCCCCAGGTGAGAGCAGTGAAGGACAAGGCTTGGGGGGGTTTGTGTGGGGGGGCGGGAATGCCTTGGGAGCCCCTCTCCTCCCAGGGGGGCATAATGCAGAGTGCGCCCCCCAAACAAGGGCCTCCCAAGAGGCTCAGCTCCTGGGGGGGGGGGCTACAAGAGGGAAGGCCGGGTAGGGGGAGCCAGCCCCGGGGGAGGGGAGCTCCCATGTGCCCCCACCCCGGCTGGGCTACCTCGGAAAGCGAAGATGGAGCCGTTCTTCAGGCTGGTGAAGGAGTCAAAGGGCTCCCCGCTGCACAGTCTCTCCTCCTCCTCCTCCTCCTCCTCTGGTCCTGGCAGGGGAGGGGCCTCGCTGGGGCTCCAGGGGGCTTCCTCCGTGGGGCCCGGGAGCCACCCTGTCCAGGCATAATCCTCGGTCTGGGCCTGCTCGTCCACAGGGGTCCCGGTGGCCTCTGGGGTGGAGGGGGCCCCCGCCGTGGCATTGGCCACGTCGTAGTAATCCTGGTAGTCGTCCTCCGGCTGGAGAAAGACGTCCCCTCGGGTCACTGTAGGGGGGGCAGAAGCAAGGATTGGGGGGCCATGGCAGCAGCCTTCCAGCACTTGAGGGGCTGCCCCAAAGAAGGGGGGGCTTATTCCCTGGGGCCCCAGAGGGCAGGACAGACATAACCGGAGAAATTTCATGGCTGTGGGAACCCTTCATCCAGTGGAGCGGCTTCCCTCCAGAAGTTGTGGGTGCTTTTAAGAAGAGGCTGGGCAACCCTTTCTCTGAAACGGCACAGAGGTTCCTACTATGGGCAGGCGCTCTAAGGTCCCTTCCACCCTAGGAATCCGGGACTCTATGATCTTCGTAAGAGGCT